TGATGTAATAGTCTAGGTTAACCTTTGTAACTCTTTTGAAGTATTAATGATGAAATATTTGAGTATTATGTGTTTTATGCTTAGTTGTGTGGCTTAATTGAATTAAGAATAAAATAAGCGTCAAAATTAAAGTGTGAGATAAACCCGTTATCTTTACATAAAGTTGTAGTGGTTGAAACAAGGATTCTGGAGATATAAAGAACGCCGAAATCCGAGTTATAACGAAGAAGTTATGACCTGTCGAAGTTTCGCGACATAACCGGCACGATGCTGAATGACGTAAAATATGAATTTAAGATAGAGCGATATCTAGCCTTAGTGATCTAAACGGAAGTTGTAGAGTTCGTTAAACCAAGAGCGTGCATAAAAAGAACGCCCAAATCTGACTTCGTATGAGGAAGTGGCCATGATGATGGACGAGGTGAACATATATGGTTCACGAGGTGAACATATATGGTTCACGAGGTGAACAGATGATGGACGTCTTCCAGGGCAAGTGGCCATGACGAACGCAATGACGTATCGAGCTCACGAGGTGAATATTAGAAACTCACGAGGTGAGCCAGTTCACGAGGTGAATATTAGAAACTCACGAGGTGAACTCAGAAAATTCACCCTATAAATAGAAATCGAGGGTCAGCCGAGTTTGGTTGCTCATCTCTTACTCTCCCACTCCCGATACTCTCTCTAAGCCCTATTTTAACCCCCCGAAGCCCCGGTGTTCATCCCAAGACCCGAAGCAAGTCCCGAAGCCCGAAGATCCCGAGAAGAAAAGAGTTTCCGAGCCGAAGCTCTGCCCGCGAGAAGCCCGGCGTGTGAAGTGATCCCGGTTTCACCGAAGAATACTACTTCTACAAGCCGTAGTGATGTCCGATCATCTTCTGATCAAGTGAGCGTGTAGTTACTTTCTTCTAATACATAAATACGAAGTATTTACTATGAAATACGTGTTATGTGTTTATATATTGGTGTTGATTTGAAGGGGGTACATAATCTCTTTCAAATGCACGATTTTATACAAGTATCGATTTAACGTACTAAGTATATGTGTTATGCGAGTGTATCGATGTTATCTTCTAATCTCATAGATACGATTTATTCTCTATGAAATATGTGTTATGTTTATGTGTCTCATCTTTTATCTGGAATGTGTTTTGAATGAACATGCTATACAGGTTTTAAATTATGTATAAAAATGTATATTTTATCTACTAAAATGTTGGGTAGAACATGGGTAGATAGCTGTCTTGTGATAAAAAGATGAGAGGCCTCGATGTTGTTTTTGATTTAGTCATCTAGCGGAGTTTAGATGACGACCACGGACTTTTCTAGACAGTCCTGTGGAACGCTAGCAGGCTCGCCACCTGTAGGTGTTAATGAACTTGGGTGTTCATTCGCTGTACTCCATCCCCCTCATGGTTGCCTTATTTGACTTATATTGCTGAGGAACCCCCGAAGCATGTGTTGTCGCCCCGATGAAATATTCTTAGACTAGGTCCCTTATGTTAGTTGTCTTAGGGACGTAAAGTGAGAATAACGGGAATGGGTAATTGGGTTATTGTTGGTTGGTGGAATTAAATATAATTATTTATTGTGGGTTGAAAACCCTATATGCTCACCAGGCTCCCAAGCCTGACCCACTCAGTTTTCTTTGTATTACAGGTAGTGGCGCCAGAGCATAAGTTGGATGACTTGTCAAGTTATTTTTGGATTATAGACCTGTTGTTTTATATAACTGTTGTAAGGTCTGTATTGTAATGTTTATGCTTTTGGTCTGTTTATCGGAACATGACATCCCGAGTTTTGTTATACAATGAAAATACATTTCTTTATGAAATGCTTTGGTAAATCTTATTTTATCATATTTCGTTTTGGGAATAAATTCCGCAACTCTTTTAATCAAAGGATTACTCTGAAATTGTTTTAAAAGCATAAATTAAATCCGTCTTTTTTGGCCGTGATTTTGGGGATGTCACACATAAACACCACCGTGAGGTGGTGGCCGCCGCCATGAGCTGCCGTTGACCACCACTGCCCAAGGTAGTAGTGGGTGGTGCCCGACTAGCGAAACCCTAATGGGCCTAGTGAAACCCTAATGGGCCTAATGAAACCCTAATTAATCTAAAGACTTAGTTTTGGGCCTATTGGGTTGTGATTGGGTTGGAAACCCTAATTAGGGTTTAGAAAACCCTAATTTTGGATATATCAGTTTGGACTTATCGGGACCCGCATTTTGGGCCATAGGAATGGAATTGTGAATTGCACCCAATCACACTATATGATTTACCCAGTAGATTGATGGACTTAATGGATTAAGTCCTTAATGGGTTAAGTAAGAAACACTTAACCCTAATCGTCATTTTATGTGGAAACCCTAATTTCACTTGGGCCTTAAGTTGGACCTTTCTATTGGGCTTTAGTGATTGGGCTAATAATGGGCCATCCAAGAACAAGCAAATGGACTAGAATAATTTAATGGGCTTTAGGGTAAGGCCCATGTGAGGGGTTTGGGCCTAATTTGGAAAATTAGGCCATAGATGGGCCATAATTGGGCCTTTATGATTATGAGATATTGGGCCATTAGAAATGCCAAATGTTTGGACTGGACTAAATGGTTGGGCCTTAGGGTAAGACCATGTAAAGGTTTTGGCCCAATTTGGAAAATTGGGCCATATGTTGGGCTTTGATTTATGAGTTTGACTTTTAGGCCTTTGGATTGGGCCTTGAGTTTGAGTCAAGCTAAGTTGGGGGTAAAGTAGCCTTTTACCCCAATCATAGACTTATGGGTATATGTTGGAACCTAATTACTGATTGGGTGTTATTTTGATGATTGACAGTTTGAGAACCTGTCATCCAACAACTAGAGTTTTGTCTACGGGACTTCAGCAGTGTGAGGTGAGTTACCTTCCAGTAGAAGTGGGTCTACAGCCACAATGCCGACCCACTAGTAGGAGTTGGTTGATAGATGATTGTCTTTGTGATAATTATCTAGGTTTGCTACTACCTGATATGTTTTATGTGCTAGCATGATATGATGTTATGTGATAGTGGTAGTAGGGGGAATAGTCCCCGGTTACCGGTCGATAGGGCCAAAGGGGTAGTTTAGTACCCAACTATGCTAGATAGATTATGACATATGTGATATGATATTATGTGGTAGTAGTAGGGGTGAAATAGTCCCCGATTACCGGTCGACAGGACTGAAGGGGTAGGTTGGGCACCCAAATATGCCGACAGGGGTAGGTTGGGTACCCCGATATGCCTAACAGGGGTAGGTTGAGCACCTCGGTATGCTCAGCAGGGTAGGTCGGGCACCCAGATATGCATGACATGGGGTAGTTTGGGCACCCCTGTATGCCTGACAGTATGTGATTTGTATGGTATGTGGTATGATGAGGGAACTCACTAAGCTTCGTGCTTACGGTTTTCAGTTTTGGTTTCAGGTACTTCGTTTTCAAAGGAAAGGAGCCGGCTCGATCGCAACGCATCACACTATGTTTTCCGCACATGAGATCTTTGTGATTCTACTCTGATATGGTTTTATGATAATATGTTTTGATTACTAACACTTTGGTCTTGACATGAGATAGTATTATGGTTGTTTTTATACTGTTGGTTTATGAATTGTTAAACTAAAAACGAAATTTTTGGTCTTGGATTTTGGGATGTTACATTTCATCTGCATAGTCCCAAACCCTACCATAATGTTCTTCTAACTTTCTTTCTATCATTTTCTTATCTCATGACCTTGCTCTTTGACATTTCCCCTTGGATACATTCACTGAAAACCTCCTCAAAACATCTTCTTTCATCTCATCCAATGTCATTTTGGGCTTCCTGATGGCATCTCGTAAGTAGTAGTGCTTGGCTAACCAACTAGAAGTAACTAAGATACTGAAGTTGTAATTCCTAGCACAAAGATGAGTCTTAACAATGGATTTAATTTGGAATGTCATTTTATTATACTTCCAACTAGCTGGTGCCCTAAAAGGACATTGATTTTGATCATTAGAATTGTTACCGTACCTAGCAATAACCCCAACTCTATCACTCTACTCAAAGTAAAATAATTATCCATTATGGACTGTATAGTTTGTTAATGTAAACCTTAGTTGAGCACGGGACTCATAACACCTACCCCATTCAAGCTTCATTTCGTTCCAAAGTTGGTTTGGATCATGGACCCTATACTCCACAACAACTTCTTAATCATTTACCTCTGATATGTGGCCATGCTCAGCCTCATTGACATCAGATCGATTTTGATCATCCCCCAAACCATCTATACCCCTCTTTAACATATTTTCATCACACAAAAAAGTTAAGAAAATGGCCATTACATAATTAGATGGGGCTTAAAGGTTTCTTGTGAAAATCCAAGAATCTGAAGTAAAAAACTTCATCATCTGAGTATGAGTCTTCATCGTATACCTTATCAGGTCGTTTGTCTTTGTCTTTCTTAGTACCATAAGTAGAAGCCATATGTTAAATATGCCAAAAAAATAAACTTGTTACTGATAATTATGTGAGGAAAAAACCCACTTACACTTCAACTTCATGTTACCATTTATGTACCTTGCACCTGCTGTGTGTCTTAACAATGAATTCTCGAGCTCAACGAAATGACAATAATGATTCTTCACAATCCCTTTTCAACTTCATGAAATCCTTTTTTGAGATCTGAAAAATGAACAATTATGGATAGAAATGTGATGGATGAGTGTTTTAACCAAAGATGTGAATGACCGAGAAATGTTATTGTTTGTTAAACGGCTATTAGGTTTTAATTGATAAGTCAACGTAATTATTGAGGCTTGTGAATGAAAAATTAAATATAAACTTTTTTCAATTAAGTGTGTAAAAGTTATGATTTTAATGGTATTTGCTTTATTTATCTATTTTTTTATTTTTTATATAAGATATAAATATAGATTTTATGGATTAATTTTTTTGGCGTTGATAACGAGGTTCTTTTTGGACCAAAAAGACCCGGTCACCCTATGAGATAAGGTGGAATTTATACTAAAACGAATACTCCACCGGCATCACATGACTACGATAGACTACTTGTAGCAATCGTTCAATTTGTCTCTCCTTTGACAATGCATCCAAAAGCAGGCGTATAGTCCATCGATCTGTGCTAGATTTGCAATGGATCCAAACCCTAAGAAGTTTCCAATCCTGTCTTACGTAATGGCCAAAATCCCCAGTGTCAGCCGGTCTCAGTCACCGGAGTTCGACATTGAGCAACCACCGCCGACGGTTCCTTCCACATCCGAACTGGAACCTTACTTCGAACTCACTGAACGCATGCCTCACTTAAGCGATCCTGAACTTCTTGCTTCCATGCGTGCAGCTGTCGACGATGTATCTCGGACACGATCTGTACTAAAAACCCTAGGCGAGTGTCCCGATCATGAATTTGTTGATATCGCTAGGTCGCGGCTGGCGGAGATCGAAGAAAGCTTGGCGAATCAACTTGAAGAGGTAACTCTATCCGATAAAGATGAGGTGGAGGTTGACAAGCGGAAGAAGGAGGAAGAGAGGGAGAAACAGTCGTTCAAGGCCGTTATCTCGTTGTATGAGATGCATCAATCGTATGAGAAGATGTTGAGTGAGGCGGAAAAGAGGCTTGAGAAGCTTTATGAGGAAGCTAAGAAGGGAGGAAAATCGGTCGCGGTTGATGACCAAGGGTGTTCTAGTGAATTTCCAACCGTCGAGGACGATGTTAAGGATGAAGTTGTTGCCATTCTGAATGATGCGTTAGCAAATGATCTTAAAAGGATCGATCTATCGGAGAGGCGGTTGCCGTTTCTTCCTGAAGCCTTTGGGAAGCTTCGTATGTTGGTTTCTCTTAAGATATCCTCGAATCAACTTCAGGTTAGTCTAATAATTTCATCACCGTATGATATTAATATCATTTTATTGATTTATCTGACGATCTTGATTTTCGGCATTCTTTGCATTATTGCCTAATCTGTATTATTGGTGGACTTAAATAATTGTGAAGATGAGATGTCAATTATCTTGCTATTAGCTTGCATATACAACTATACAAGTTATACCTTGCACGATCAATCATAGGTGAATCTGTTAGATAGACGAGAATCAGCCTATATTATAATTGAAGATCCAGCTTAACCATTTGATGTGATGAGTAATTTTTCAGTTACCGAACCAGGCTTTAGATATACCATTAATCTGTTCTAGTTCATTGCTTCATATTCAAACTGGAATTTGCTTCTCGGTTGTGGATTGATCTATGCAAAGTTGAATTGCTTTTGGGATTAGAAAGACTATTCATCTAGGAATATTAACTTGGAAATGCTAGTCTTGAATACTTCGGCCAGTAGCAATCAAAGTGAGTTAATGGCACATGACTTGTTATCAGTTATCACACCATGAAAGAAAATAATAAGATTGTTGTTAGACATTAGATATATACCTCTTCATTAACTGAGAGAGGAACTCTTGTATTGATGTTCACGACTTTCAACCCAATCTATCATCACATAAAATACAAATGAAACTCCAAAGTTCATAGCTTGTTTTCGTCAGTGATCGGATCATTGAAATTTGAAAGCACATAATGCACCCATTTTACCATTGTTCTATCTTCACCAACACCATCATGACACTACATCTTTAAACATCAATATTCAATTATTTTTTGGTGGTGAAGTTGGATCCATATACTCCATTCTTTCTCTAACAAGGGTCCTACCTTCCAATAATTATCACTTTACCACAAGCGACTCATCATTAGGTGCTCCATTGACTACAGTATCCTTCATTAGAATTTTAGAACCACAGAAGTTGGATTTTTCAGTGGGCGTTTAGGCTTTACCGCTTTACCTTAAGGGTATAATAGGAAAAGAAAAACTAGAAATATATTGTGTTTAGTGGTTGATTGAGGTTATTTAACTTAACTGTACACTTTCCAGACTGACCACCCTTTGTGTACTTGAACAGGCCATTCCTGATTCAATTGCTGGACTTGAGAATCTTGAGGAGCTTAACGCTTCTTCCAATCTTTTGGAATCATTACCAGATTCCATTGGCTTATTGCTGAAATTGAAGACTTTAGACGTCTCTAGCAACAAGCTCACGTCCTTGCCTGATAGCATCTGTCACTGCAGGTACATGTATTTAGATACATCACTGAGTTTCCTCTTCTCTCTCACCTATCTTAGTAAACTATTGTATAATTAAATAAGGCTAAATGGAAGGAACAACATCGTGCTTCCATTTTTAGTTGTCTATTATAGCATCCTACTTTCATTTCTTTTTATTACAACACTTTGAAGTTTTCTCTTATTAAGGTATTGTTCTATGAAAACTCTATTCAGTTATAGCATTAAACTTTCAAAACTTTCTCTTATTAGAACTATTAGAACAATATACATTGAAAAAAATCATTCAATTCTAGCAGTGCAATTAAGAAATAGCAATGTACTTTCATTTTTTTATAGCATACTACTTCTGTTTCTTGCTATTACAAAACTTTGAACTTTTTTTTTTCTTATTAAGGCATTGTCCTGTGAAAATTCTATCCAATTATATAGCATTTTACTATGACTTTTTCTTATTAGAACAGTTTACTTTGAAAAACCTACCCAATATGGATTACAGTGCTATTATTAGGTAGATATTTTCAAAGCACAATGCTGTATAGGAATAAATGAAAGTAGGATGCTATAATAAACAAGTCGATGCAAGTACAATGCTATGTCTTGCATTTATCCCAAATTAATACTAATACTAATACACTTGTTTTAGGTCACTGGTAGAACTTTGAAATGTTTTCTTACAAATGAATTGTCCTATGCTAATTTGGGATAAATGCAAGACATGCAAATTTGAGATAAATGGACAATGCTATTTCTTGCATTTACCTCAAATAAATGATAATATGCTTGTTTTATGTCACTGGTTGAACTTTTGAACTTTTTTATTTTCAAGGCATTGTCCATCTGTCTCATGCAAATTCTATCCAATTACAATGTTGTACTTTTAATTTTTTTCTTATTAGGACAATATACTTTGAAAAACCTACCCAATCACAGTAGTGAAAAAGCTTTGTATTCTGATGACATTGCTTTAATTGGGTATATTTTTCAAAGTACATTGTTGTTACAGGAAAAAAAGAAAAGTAGGATGCAAACAAATCAACAAAAGTACATTGCTATTTCTTTACATTCACCCTCTCTCATTTTAGGTCACTGGTAGAACTGGATGTCAGCTTCAATAAGCTAACATATCTACCCACCAACATCGGGTACGAACTTGAGAATCTAAAGCGACTTTCAGTCCCTTTAAACAAGCTGCGGTCACTTCCTACATCAATTGGCGAAATGACATCTCTTCAATTCCTAGATGCCCATTTCAATGAACTCAGAAACCTGCCACCATCAATCGGGAGGCTTTCAAACCTTGAGATTCTGAATCTCAGTGGTAACTTCAGTGACCTCACATCACTCCCCTACACAATCGGCGATCTAACAAGCCTCAAAGAACTCGATGTCAGTAACAACCAGATCCATGAACTGCCTGCCACATTTGGTCGCCTTGAGAATCTTATAAAACTTAATGTGGATGAAAACCCGTTGGTGATTCCTCCTAAGGAAATAGTGAATGAAGGGATTGAAGCTGTGAAGGAGTTTATGGCTAAGAGGTTGCTTGAGATTTTACTAGAAGAAGAGGAGAAAAGTAAGTACCCCGAGAATGATCAAACACAGGGTGGTGGTGGTTGGTTGAGTCGTAGCACCTTGTGGCTGACCAATGCTGTTGGTGGATATTTGGGAGGTGGTGGGAATACAAACACAAAAATAAACGACGAGCCTTACCTCAATCAGCAACTATGAGTCTATGACCATGTTACTGGCCGTATGTCAGTCAATCTAGTGGGATACTGTGTACCTAATATGGGTTTGTTGAGAGAATAACTTTTTTTCTGTGGAAACAAAGCATACACAATGTGGCTTGTTCTTTTGATAAGCACATTACATTACTTTAAAATTTTGATGGTTTTGGAGCACAATTGTGTTTCTTCCCTTTGTGTTGTACTAGATTTGGGATGGGTGTGTAACATGCTAAACTTCATTCCATTTTACAAAAGGATATTTCTACCTTGGGTTGTGATTTACTATATGAGTTGGGATTATACGTTGTAGAAAAAATTGTAGTACTTTTTGTTTTTTTTTTGGTTAGAGTTGATTTTAAAGTTGGAATTAAGTTTGTTGTTTTTTTGGTTGATCTTGAATTTTTATTATTTTTATTTTACAAATGATAGTGGTTAGATACGTTTAAAGTTATCTTCAAACTTGGGAAATGATTTGCACACATTTTTTTCTTTGTACACAACACTTTAGGTTTTTTTATGATTAAAACATAAATTGTTGTATATAGAAAAAAAAATATATTGTGGAGAGAATCAGCTCCTTTCAAACTTAGCATAAAGTTTTCTATAGTATATTATAAAATAATTTGTTTAAATCCTTATATCGTTCATGTGTTTTCGGAATAACAATTGTTTTAGTGAAAACACTATTTTCTTTTATAATTAGATTTTAGACATGTATTTTGAACGATACGATTTTATTCAACTGACAAGTACTAGAAAACAAAAAAGGACTCAAAATAATTAAAGGATTTGACAAACTACTTTTAACTACATAAAAAAGTTGTTTCCAATATATGTAATTAATAAGGTAAGGTCTATTTGTAAATCATAAAAGGGCCATAATTTAGAAAAAAAAAATGGTATATGAAATTTATAAAAGAGCTATTTACTAAAATGATTATATTTATTGTAAGTTTTTATAATTAGCACCTTATGTTTACTTAAGAACTTAATGTATTTGTATTCTCTTTTGTATATTTACGAAGTAATTAAGCCTCATAGCAAGATGTTTTTTCGCAATTTTTACACGTGTTGTAGCATGCATGCGTGGTTGATCCTGTAATCTCCAGGAAATATTTTATGTTGATATTTGGTGACGTACTAATAGGTTGATTTGTCACACCTACCTATATCCTAACGTTATAAATAAGTGGCGTGACCTTACGATCATGTGCGCATACACATCATTTTTTGCACTATAATCCTCCGTTATCCTTAGTTCCTTTGATCATGTTCATCATTTGAACAAGTTGAAATAAAAATAAAATATTGAAAAGTTACTCCTCATTGTTGATTATATTTCCACATCATATTTGTCATTTAAATAGTTTTGTGGTCCTACAAGTGGTATCAAAATAGGAATCACATATCCTTATGAGATTTTTGATCTGTTTGCGATCCTTGTTTTCCAAGTTTCATTCAGATTTTGATTTCTCTAAAGTATTTATTGATTGTTCGTTTCCTATTCAATTATGGAAAATTTCAATCAACAAGTCATTCATCTCAACTACTCTAACAACTGGGTAGGACGCATTGAAGACTATACCTATGCCATTGATGAAGACGTTTGGAGATCTGTGAAGAATGGTCCTTACATGGGTGAAATTGCATCTCATATTGGTAAAGATGAAGAAGAAGATAATGAATATGAGAAAGCACTAACCTCTGTTAACAAGAAGAAGATTGAAAATGATTGAAAAGCTAAGAGAGAACTTCGGTATGGTATTCCTCCAAACATTAACTCTAAATGGGAAGTTGTGTTTCTGCTCATGAAATGTGGAACAAGCTTAAAAATATTTATAGAGGAAATGAGAAACGTAAGAAATCTCGCATGATGAAAATCTCGAAAGTGCTAATGAACGTTTCAATCTAATGGTAACAAATTTGGAATCTCATCAAGTGATAAAAAGTCAACAAGAGATTAACATAAATTTTATTTCATGTATTCGAAAGGAATGGAAACTCACAGCTTATTAATTAAAAGTCATGAAATAATTGATTCCTATACTCGTTCGGATCTGTTTGATATCTTGAAAACTCACGAAGAATATCTCATTGATGATGAGAAACTGAAAACCTTTGGTGGTCCACTCGCACTTTTAGCAAAAGAAGAATGTGCGAAACAAACTGTCTCTGATGAAGAAGTTTTAACTGAAGTTTCTGATAATGATGAACAAGTTCTCTATGTAAACAACTCAAAAGTGAATTTTTTTTACAAGAAACTATAATCAAACTTTCGCTCACAATTGTGAATGGTGAAAATTCTGGTACAAAAGAATGGAAACCAAACTCTTTTGACAAAGCAAAATCTCAATCAATTAAAATTGAAAGACAAAATTACAAGAATGGTCCCTGTGGTTAGGTGGAAATTGCCACTTTGGGCCAAAAAAGTTTGGGCTAGCACTCATGGTCCAAAGGTTTACATTTTGTTGCCACTTTCGTCCAAAACCTTAACTGTCGTCACTTTTCCCCCATTACCATCCATTTGACTTGTCAAAGGGAGGGTATTTTTGTAACGCCCCGATTCTCAGGTATTAATATTATGGCTTTAATTTTCAAGTTTCAAGGTCTACTCGACGAGTTGGATGCCCTGACTCGTCGAGTAGCAGCGGGTTTCGGGCCACGTGTTTAAGTGACCAACTCGCCGAGTCGGAAGAGTGACTCGACGAGTTGGAGCTGGAGGGTGAAACCCTAATTTCCGGGGTTTTGCACCCTATTTAAAGGATCCTTTGCCCCTTAGCCTCCCCTTACAACCCCTGTGAGTCCAGAAATCCTAAATCTCCATTTTCTCTCCATACTTGTGTGTTTAAGCTTGAAAGGTGGATCTTGGTGAGGAAAGGCTTGAAGATCAAGAATCTTTGAGCAAGGAAAAGTTGGGGATCTGAAGTCTACCTCAGTTTATCACCATTTGAAGGTATCAAGTCATCACCTTGAGCTTCTTCTAGCTAGATCCCTTTTATATTTGAGTTTTGGGACCATTTTGGGCATTTGGTGTTACATTTCGAGTGATGAACCAAGATCTGAAGTTGCAACTTCAGATCTAGGCTCATATTGGCTCTTATCATCATAAAGTATCAGTCTTTAGCATGTTGGTGAAGCCCTTTTTCCTAGAACCTCTTCTTTAGCTTGATTTGAGTCATTAGAGCCTTGCATGCACGTAAAGTTTGCAACTTTACGTTATGAGCATGCCTTGGGAAGTTGGATCTGCAGTGTGGAGCCTTAGCATGGCTTAAAAAGCATCTGTATGGATGAAGGACCGAAGGGACTCGGCGAGTGGCATGGTCGACTCGGCGAGTCCGATGAAGATTGTTGTAGACTCGGCGAGTCAGTAGAGTGACCCGACGAGTCTGATGAAGATTGCCTTGGGCTCGGCGTGTCAGATGAGTGACTCGGCGAGTTGGCAAGTTATGCAAGGAACTCGGCGAGTAGCTGAGGGCACTCGACGAGTTGAGGTCAACATGGACTGTTGACCTTGGCAGTTGACTTTGACTTTGACCAAGGGTTGACCAGTTGACTTCTGAGGATATTTTGGTAAATTGGATATTTATAGCAAAGGACATTGGTGAATATAGGTGTTGGAGTTGGGGTTACATTTGGAGGAGTTTGACACTATCTTCCGAGCTACTTGCGAGGTGAGTTATCCTCACTATACTCAAGGGTCAAAGACACCAAGGCCGACCCTTTGGATTGTTATCTGTTTATGTTATGCTAGTATGATCTATTAGATCGGTATCCTAGAGGGTAGGATAATATTATATGATATGTGGTATGACCTGTTAGACAGGTATCCTAGAGGGTAGGATAATATTATATGATATGTGGTATGATCTGTTAGATCGGCATCCTGGTAGATAGGATTGTGTCATGTGCTATGTGGTATGATCCGTTAGATCAAGTATTGTCTATAGACTGTTATGTGATTATCTATTATATGTGCACATGTTCGTTTAGCGGTTGAGGTTTATCTGCTTTGTGCTGAGGCCAATAGACCTGGGCATTCCAACCTGTAGGTTGTGGGCCGTGAGTATTCCATCCCGAGGATGATTGGACTCGTAGTATGTGGGCATTCCAACCTGTTGGTTGTGGGCCTGGGGTATTCCATCCCGAGGATGATTGGACCCATTGTATGTTGGCATTCCAACAGGATGGTTGAGGGCCTGGGGTATTCCAACCCGATGTTTCAGGTATTTTGGGGGAACTCACTAAGCTTTCAGGCTTACAGTTTTAGTTTATTGTTTCAGGTACATCAGGGGATCGCGGCAAGGCGAAGGCGTGATCGTACAGTGTCACACCCCCAGCCATTGGCGGAAAGACCGGGTGGTGTAACGTCATTCTTCGTATCACAGTTATATAACATACATTGAACAGTACTAAAGAAAATACATACCTTTATTGATAATTGAAAGTTACATAACTGTTTTTCTAGAACCTATTACATAATATCCGACTATGGCATACTTCTTAATGAACAGCAAGGTAATAGTAAAACTTTTTCTGTTCGAATACATACCAACTTTTCAAGTTCCTGAAAACACATGCATTTTAAAATACGTCAACATAAAGTTGGTGAGTCCACAGGTTTTGACTCCATAAAATAATACATTTTCCACGTTCAAAAGTATAGTTTTGAAAGTATCATTTTGACTCTCCAGCATTTAGTATGTATATTAGGTATAATAGTTTACTTATCAATTAAGTGATATACCTAAACATTCCTTGAGCCTAAGGTATAAGTAGGGGGAAACTTATACTTAACATTAATACTTGTATACGACAAAGTATAATGTTTCTAACAATTTGCTACCATGAGCCTGTAACCGTTGCTATGACATAATACGTCTGATAAAATACACTTATGATTTACCATGAGAAACAACACACTCATGATTTACCATGAGAAACAACACCGTACGCTTCATCGACACCGGAACAATAACAAGTAAAAGGATAGTTCATCACTCGCTTTTGGTTGACTGTAGCTAATAGTCATAAGTGGGGTGGTCAACCCGTATACTAATTATACACGACTTCCTCGCTCACACGGGATTAACGGTTACAATTCAGAGGATTTCCGCTAAGATCCCCAATCTTAGTTGATGAATACAATTACTCATGTAGACTTCGACGACTTCCTATAGCTCTAACAACAAAAGCATTTTCATGTCTAAAACCCTAAGTTACTAGACCATGCTTTTAAACATTACTCCTAACTTCATAATATTTAGGCAGTATAACAGATATAACTTGAAGTAAAACTAGGATTTATCTTGACATAAAACCAATAACAACAACAACATATAACATACCAAGTTTTATCTTGTCATAAAACTAACAATAACAACATACAACATACCAAGTTTTATCTTGACATAAAACCAATAATAGCAACATACTTTATAAATTAACATATAGAACTTCCGAATATAACTTCGGAACTATATCGCACACAACATATATATAGAATCCTAAGTATAACTCAAGATCTACATTAGTATAATAACATGCTGACAAGTTGATAATAGTTGTATATATTCAAAATATTATATTTAGAACAACTATACCCCAGTTATTATAACTATATACTATCATATATACATAATAGTAATGTATATACAATATTTAGCATGCGTTTTCCCCAAAATATTAGAAAGTGGGGCCGTGAAACTCACCCTAGTAGCGTGATTTTATGTAATCTAAGCAGAAACGGTCAGCGTACGAGGTCGTCGGGGCTCGGGATGCAAGAGGGCTTCAGCAAATGAGAGAAAGGAAAGAAGTTCAGGTGTAGGAATAGCTGAAGTCGGACCTGCTATTTATAGGAAGGATTTTGGACCTTCACGTCGTGAGCCATATAGTCTCACGTCGTGAGTTTGGATCTTATCCCCGTAGACTTGACATTTGCATCCCTAGCTTCGGAAGGTGGCCATGTGACTCCTCACGTCGTGAGATATCCTTGCTCATGTCGTGAGTTTGGATCTTATCCCCTCGTAGCCTCGTCACACACCTTTTAGATTCCGAGATATGGCCAAATAACTCCTCACGTCGTGAGTTTCTGTGCTCACGTCGTGAGCTCAGTCAGATTAGGGTTTCTGACAGCTGAATCTTAGGAAGGTCGTAACTTTCACATACGAACTCCGTTTTTGACGTTCTTTATATACATGTGTAGGTATTTACAAGTACTACAACTCTGTTTTAGACTCCAATAGCTAGTTCTAATTCTATTTTAAATTACTCTTATTATAGAGATTTATAGTGTTCGGTTTATCATAACTTCTTCATGCGAAGTCAGATTCAGACGTTCTTTATATTTTTGGAATCGTATGGACGTATACTTTGAGTTGTATCATAAAGAAAGTTCATATTTGTATTAGAATTTATCATGAACCACATAGCACTCTTATCACATTACTAGTTTAACAAAATCACATTACATGATTGGCATAATCACATGTGATTGTTTATTGACCTATTTTGACTAGTGTTACATTCTCCTCCCGTTAGAATAATTTCGTCCCGAAATTTATCTTATGGATGGGGTTTTGTCAAACAGTTGGGGGTATTTTTCTTTCATCTGATCTTCACGTTCCCAAGTAAATTCAGGTCCTCATAAAAAGTTCCATCGAACTTTCACTATGGGAATACGACTTTGCTTTAATCGTTTGACTTCTCGATCCATGATCTCAACAGGTTCTTCTATAAA